ATTATCACAAAACTATTAGTTTTTCACACTATTATTCGATTTGTAAATTATATTTAAATAAAATAAAGAATAAAACTTTAGAAAAAAAAAACGTTTATATTGTATTAGCAACAATCGAAGTGTTCCGAAACTTGACAGGTATTTGTGTAATCTGTATTTTCAATAAATCATAAAATATTTTATGTTCGTAAATATAACACTTGACACATGCAGGACAACAAATATTAAATACTACTATGTGTTCTAAAAATATTTTAAAATAATATATAATTTAATAAATAAATATTAATGAAATACTATATATTCTTTTTTTATTTCTTATAATAATGATAATATTTTTTAAAATAATTTATGTTTATTGATTATATATAAAACTATTAAAGATCCAATAATGAAAGATGATTATTTCTGTAACTTGTTTTATGTTCAAATCATGGTGTTAAACTTGACAATATGGCTTTTTCTAGTATTAGAAGTGCTATTTTTAGTATTATGAATAAATGAAAAAAATAAAATGTAAAAAAATTAATTATAAATATATATAATGTTATATAAATATTCAATATAAATATTATAATTATTATAATTGTAATAAATGAAAATCTACCAATTTTTCAAATAATAAAAGAAATATATAATTTTTTTGAAAAAATTATAGTACTTATATTTAAAGTTTTTACATTGATTAAACAAATATTAATATAAAGTAAATTTGAATTTTTTATAAGTACAATTTTTATAATTGAATAATCAAATATAATATAAAATATATCAAATATAATATATAATATAAATATATTAGATAATAAATTTAATAGATTTCTATTAGATGAATGAATTAAATAAAAATTAATAGCAAAAAAATTTATAAAAAAAGTTACTATTAATAAAATACTTGCAAATATAAAAAGATAGTCTTAGTAATTAAAACTTTAAAATTTATAAAATCTGAAAAAATAAAATTATACATACAATATGTATATTATGAGTTATAGTATATAATTATTATTACCATATTATCATTACTATTATTATTACTATTACTCATAATATTATTACTAATATTAATATTATTATTACTGTAACTATTTTTTAAGTAACTGTGCTATATATAATTAATATAAATGAATTAATATATTAATATAAATATAGAAAATATTTATGCTATGTTACTATTGTACTAAATTATAATCGTTTTATTGTATTTTTATATAATTTATGATATATATTATAAACATTATATTATAAAATCGCAAAAAAAGCGCGAAAGTAAAAAATTAGTAATTTCTAGTAACTTGATTATATCTAAATGAAAATTCAAACATTGTTGCCAAATTTATTTTTACAGTTTAAAATAGACTAGTAATTCTTATAGTTTATTTTTACAGAATAATATAATTTTAGGAACGATTATTTTCTTTAAATTAAATTTAAAATTTTATCAAATTGTCGTTAAAATTAATTTTTTTTATTAATTTACTTTTAGCTATGTATATTATATAATATATAGTTTTATATTTGTATTATATTATTTTATTATATCAAAACAATGTTTGTGTAAATTTATAATTTTAATTTCGTATATTGACAAATATTAGATGAATAATATTGTAAAGATAGTTATATTCTTAATCTGTAATTGTAAAGATATATTCTTAATCTATAATTAACGATTTTAATTAATAACTTGGATTTTATAATGGCAAATCTAAATGATGACAGAATTGTTGTTTTAATAGATATGGATTGTTTTTTTTGTCAAGTTGAAACAAAACTTCAACCACAATATATTGGAAAACCCCTTGCTGTTGTGCAATATAATCAATGGCAATTAGGAGGGTAAAATATAATGTTCAATATAAATTACGATTAAATAATTGAATTTTAGATATATAATAATAATTGATAATATTTTTGAAATAGAATAATTGCTGTTAATTATGAAGCAAGAGAATATGGTGTTACGAGACATATGAGAGGTGAAGAAGCTAAAGAAAAATGTCCAGATCTTATTTTAGTTAGTGTACCATGCCTTCGTGGAAAAGCTGATATATCAAGGTATATAAAAAGTTATAAATTTGAAGTTTAAAGTTTTTATAGAATATAAAAATTAAAAAATTTTATATCTCCATACAGATATAGAAATGCTGGCCGTGAAGTTATTAATATTATAAAAGAACACTGTAATGTTATAGAACGAGCTAGTGTGGATGAAGCATATTTAGATATTACTGATATGGTTCATAAAAGAATGTCCACAAATTTAAATTTTTCAGATTTAGCAACACAGCTTTCAAATACATTTGTAGTAGGATATTCAGAAATTGGAAAGAATGATGAAGGTAAAAAAGAATATGAACTTTTATCATTACAAATAAATAAATAAATAAAAATATATATATTAATATATATAAATAAATATATTAATGATATATAATATGAGTTTTTAGAAGAAAGAAGTAAAGGCATAAAAACTTGGATAAAAAATGTTTTTGAGGAATTTGAAGATATAGAAGCACAAAAACTTGCAATAGCAGGATTAATAGTTGAAAAAATAAGAACTGATATATCTGATAAAATAGGTTTCAAATGTTCTGCAGGTATTGCACAAAATAAGGTAAAAAAAATATTTTATATATTATATGTTATAAATTGAATGAAAAATATGAATGTCAATATTATATTTAATTAGAAGAAATATATCAATATTTTATATTTTTAGATATTAGCTAAATTGGCATGTGGATTACATAAACCAAATCGACAAACAATATTACCTGCAGCTGCAGTATTAACATTATATTCAACATTACCAATAAAAAAAGTTAGAAATCTTGGTGGTAAATTTGGAGATATTGTTACTGAATCTTTGAATTGTAATGTTATGGGTGATTTATTACAATATTCATTACAATATTTGCAAAAACGTTTTGATGAAAAAACAGGGTGTGTTTATAATTTTTTTTAATTACAACTTTGATAAAAAAATAATATTATATAAAATCTATTCTAAAAAAAATTATATTATATTAATTCATTTATTTAGATTGTGGTTATATAATATTGCTCGAGGCATAGACAATGAACCTGTTACTGTACGATTGGTATCAAAATCAATTGGAGCATGTAAAAAGTTTCCAGGAAAACAAGCTATAACGTCATTAAATATGGTAGTGTGAAATGTGCACAAATAAAAATCATGAATAATTTTTTTTTACAATTTTTTTAATACATGAGATTTTTTTTACAGTTAAAACATTGGATCAGTGAATTATCGGCAGAAATTTGTGAGCGTCTCGAACAAGATCTTACGGAAAATGAGCGACGCGCAACATTAGTTACAATATGTTATCATTATTATCAAAACAAGACTATAGTATCTCAATCACGTTCATATACTTTAAATTCATATAAACCAAAAAATATGACAATTCGTTGTGTGAATATTGTGTCTAAATCAACACAATGTCCAATTGCATATTTAGGTATATCAGCTAGTAAATTTATAGCAGTTAAAGGTAGTAAAAATTTTCGAAATTTCTTTAAATCAAATAATTCAGAATATCATCAGAAAAATGTTCAAATAAAAAATATGAAGATAGAAAATTCACATTCAATAGTCAATATTAAATCAATAAGAAATGATTTAAGTGTAGATAACATTATTAGTTCATATTCTAATAGTAATGAAAATAATAATCTATTAAATAATAAATTGAAAAATATTGAAAAGAAACCTAAAAATATGCAATTAAATGAACAAATTTCTGATACAAAAATAGATTATTCTCCTACTTCTAAAAAATTAAACAATTTAATTACTTCGTTAAATGAACGAGATAAAACAAACGCATTTTATGAAAGAAAAATAAATTTGAATGATTCCTTGAATCAAAATGACTTTAAAGAATCATTTTTTGTAAATATTTTTAATTCAAAAGAAAGTGATTTAAAAGATATGTTTGCACATAATGAATTAATTGAATTAAATGATAATATAAATTTAAATATTGAATTAGAAAAAATAAATGTAAATAATATAAGAAATGAAAACAATTTTGATGAAAAATTAAATTTAAATGCAAAAGAAAAAAATTGTAAACAATACAAAAATAATGAGATTGAAAATAGGCCATTTATAAAATTCAATCAAAATAATGAAATAAATAATACCCAAAATATTACAAAATTAGAAGAAATATTTCCCGATTTGAATAATATTGATCCCACTGTACTTGCATTGTTACCATTGGATTTACAAAAAGAAGCAAAATTATATATGAAAGCAAAAGATAATAAAGATAATACAAAAAATATTTTAGTGAAAACATCAAAAGGAAAAATAAATTTAAGATAAATACTTCAAAAAGGAAGAAAAAAATGATATTTCTAATTTTTTAATAAAAAAAATTCATCTAATTGAGTTCTTTCTAAACAATGTTTAAAATGTTATTAAATGATATCTCTATCAAAATATCAGGAACATTGCGATTTTCATATAGCTGAAAATCTACAATAGAATATAAGTAATACATTGTTATTTTGATATGAACATAAAAAGAAAGAAAAATATTAATGATTAATAAATTTCATTAAACGTCGATCGAATGCAAATAATTTAAAATCGTGAAAATCTAATTCATAATTTCTTTTGTATAATATGAATTGATATATTATAGATTATATATTGTAATGAAATAATAAAGAGATAATTTTTTTTTATTTTTATATTTATTATTTTTTATACAAATTTTCTTGTTTCTTGTATATTATATTGCATATAATATACAGATTCAGAATTATTTTATTTTATTAAATTAATTATAATATAAATTATTTTGTAAATAGAAAATAATATGTGATGATATAAAATACTAAAGTTATGTTGATTTATAATAAATTATATTTAATTATGTTTATATTAAATTGAATTCATATAAATTAATATATTATATTAATTTTTTTTTAAATATTTAAAATATTTTAAATTTAATAATAATTCTATATTTTTTTATAATTTTAATATTTAATTTGACATTGATAAATTATATATGTATATAATTAATATTTAAAAGTCGATTTGTACTTAAACAATCAAGTTTTGCAAATTCAGTTCTTACGCTTTCTTTATATCGTTTCATTGAATCTTGAAACGTAGAAATAGTTGTTCTTATTGCATCATTAGATGTCTTCAGTAATTGAAATGCTATGAAATAAAAAGAAAAAAACAATGAAATTAAATATTTAATAATAATATCTTAATTTTAAATATCTTTTAATAATATCTGAAATATTATAAAATTGTACCTTGTTGTTTCTCGATTTCCTCTTTTTCTATAGTTTTTATTAATTTATGCATAAGATTTAATAATTTTAATTGTTTTGGTGGCAAAGTTTTTTGAGATGAAATTTTTCCGAACTTTTTTTCATATTTTTTTATGTATACATCTAATTTTAAAATTGCTGTCTTTTCATTTTGAAAATGATATATTTTTTTATAACTTATATTTTCATTCATTATTATTTTTAAATCATTTCATTTCATAAGAAATATGAAATTCAATAAAGAGTATGGACAAAGAAAGTAAATAGTATGAGAATAGATAAAGATAGATTAAAAATTGTAAAATGAATGTTATTTTTAGAGTGCCGTGACAAAACAAAAATTTAGATAAGGAAAGTAAATAGCAAAATAATAGAATAAGATAGAATAAGAATTGATTATCAGCACCATCTATCAATTTTCAAAAAAAATCTCTACAAAAATAAAAAGTAAAATATCCAATAATACTGATTTTCTTATTTTAGTTTATCCTAGTTATAGATTAGATATCATACATGTATAAAAGATGGCATTAACGATCAATCTTTATTCTATCTCTGTCTTTCTTTTATTATTTATTTCTTTGTTTTATTTGCGATATTTTAAAAATAATATCGATTCCCGAATTTTTATAATTTTTATTTCTATTCTCTTTTTATTATTTTTATCTATATTTGTTCTATAAAATATATATAGACGACTTAAGAAATGACTTCATTATTTGATTAATTTTACTATTTTTTAAAATAAAAATATAAATATAATGTATATCAAAATATATATGAAAATGATATGATGTGTGGTATATATATATATATACATACATATATACATGTAATTGTTATAAAAATATATAAACCATGTGCTAAAAATTACACGGATTAAAATGTAATTTTATATATAAAATCAAGACTTCTATTAAAAATATAAATCCATTGAATTGCAAAATAACATCACAATAAATTATAAGAATGCTATATCACTTGCATGCATTTACATGTATATTAATGAATAGAATAAACAAATTTATAATAATGTACATATATTTTGGATATTACAATGTTTATGAATGTTTATAGGAAATATATGGTTTAAAAAAGCTAAAATATATATTTATTTATATATATTTAGAATATATTATAGGTATTTAAGTAGCATTATATCCTTTTTTCCATACAGTATCTTTAAGATATGCACCTATCATAGGATTATTAAGCATTGCTTCTACAATATTTTTAAATCCTAATTGACTTGCTAATACATATTTACACTCCACATCTGATAATTCAGAAATTAATATTTTCATATTATTTGTCATAGTATGAGTAATACTTTTTTCCAATCTATATCTATAATAAAGATTAATAAATGATAATTAAAATAGTAAGAGATTTACAAAACTTTTTAAAATAATAATTAACTTGCCTTCGTACACAATCTTGTACAAGACCTGGAGTGAGCTTATTTACTGTTATGAAATCTTTTAAATATTTTGTTTCTCCATTTAATATACAATGATTATAAATCAAATTAGCCCAATCTACATGGTGATTATAAGCATGAACAATAATAAAACTTTGAGAGAAACTTAAATTATGACACAATACTTTATCAATATCTTCAGGTTTTAAATTAAGTATACAAATTACTTGTTGATTATAAGATGTATTAAAAAGTGAAAGTTGAAGAGCTACTAATTGTACTTGATCAGAACATTGACTAGCAAGATTTAATTTATTAGCCTATAATTCATATATATTCAGATGAAAAATAATTTTTAAATTTAAATTATTTTAGAAAAAAAAGTAAATGATATTTTACCTGTAAATAGTATTCTGTTGCATGAGTATAATTAGTTATAATTAATTGTAACTGTTTTTGAATATATTCAGTTTTAATAAATTTTATTTCATGTTGAACATTATTTTGTAATTTATTATATTCTTTTGTAGCATCTGATATTATTGTTTTGATTAAATCTTTTGCTTCATTTTCCCACATAAGTGCTAATTCATGATATAATCGAAAATGTAAGGCTACTAGAGTAAAAAGCTCTTTATTTTCAGGACAATGATGTTTAAGAAAATCCAAAAGTGCTGTTTCTAAACCAGTAACCTAATATATTTTATAATATTATATATTTATATGAATAAAGTTTATATGTATTTGAAGAAATAAAAAATGAAAAAAACCTTATTTAATCCTTTTCCAAGTAAAAATTCAAATTGATCATTTTCTTTTAGAATTTGAAATATATAATTCATTTCTGTAAAACGACCAACACCTGTTACAAGGCGGACCTAAAATTATTTGATATTATATATCTTATACATATATTGTATAAAATTTTGTTTATTTATATTTTTAAAAAATGATATACCAATAATGTCCAATATTTAAGATTTTGTAAAATATTTGAGAAAATTTGACATTTACATAATACTGATGCAATTCCTTCCATATTGCAAGAAGTTGTAAAACAATCATGAGCTCGTATTAATAATTCCACGATTGTTTTAAGGGTTAATGCTAAATAACAAAAAAGAATTAAATAATAATACCTTGTGTTACATAGGTAATATAATTAATAATTATATTTTATTACCATTTGTCTTTTCACCATGAGAATGACCAAGTAATTTATTTACCGTTTTTAAAAGCTTCCAACCGAGGAGTGAAACATCATTACACAATTCCATAATAACACGAAAATTCGTATTTAAAGAATATTCCCATAAACAAATATTATTTTCATATCCACCTAGAGAAATAATAATTTCTTATAGTTATGAATTTATAGTATATTTAAAATTATTATCATTATATACCTTTTACAGCAGAAGTAATGTTTAGAGTAATATTTTCAGCCAAAAATGTTGCAACAGTATCATTATCTATTTTATATGCAATAATTATATCATTAATAATTTCAGATTTATCTTTAATATTACTTTCTGTAACTTCTTGTAAAAACTGAATTGGATTGTTTAATACTAATAATACCTGATAACTTTTCTCTAATTGCATTGCTAATTTATAACATAGAACAATTCTAAGACATATGTCTAAGCCATGTTCCAGAATATCAAATAATTTTTGTAAAATTAATAAACATTCCACTTGTATGTTTGTTTTATCTTTTGACATTTCATTTATATTGATTGAAGTAACTACTGTAATAAAAATTTTTATTTTAATTTTTAAGTATACATTAGTTAACAACTGATTATAATGAAAATATAAATCAAAAAGAGAAGATACATGAAGAAGATGAAGAAAATCTTTGTAAGCTACGATTCTTTAAGGCACTATATTTTTGTTGTTTATTCTTATTTACTTCTTTTAGAAGATTTTGTTGTTCAATAGTTAAATCATTTGGTAAAATTTCTCCTTCTGCTAGACTCAAACATAATATTAGAATTTGTAAATCCTGAAAATAAAATTAAAATTATTGAGATTTATTGATATTTATTAATTAAAATTTATTAAAATTTACCTTATGTTTAAAATTAAAGATTGTAGTTATTCTCAGTGCAATATCTAATTTACCTAAATCAATTAATGTATCAATTAAAATTTTAGCTGCATTTCTTTCCTGTACATTATTTAATGTATAGCTAAATTTCAATTTATTTAATCCTGATAATAATTCTGTTTTTAATTTATTAAAAATATAAGGTCCATTATCTAATTGTATACTTTCGGGACCTGCTAATATACATGATTTCCACATTGCCATTTCCAGTGTATAAATATCTTGCTGTTCTGTTTCAATATTTTTTAAAGTTTCAAAAGCTAGTTTTAATATTTCATATCTGTTGAAAGGTATATTTTTTTGTAAAAATTAAATTTATGATTTTTTTTTAATTAATAAAAATAATACATACCTTTCCTTATGAGAAGTAACTTTTTCAGCATGCTCAACAAAAAATTCTACTACTTCTTTATATGGAATATTATATTTTTTAAAATTTAATGCACATTCATACCAAAAATTATCTTCAATTTTTTCATTTTTATGAATATAATATTTAAATTTACTTCGATACTATAAATATTAATGTGATAGAATATAAAATAAAAACAAAAATCATAAAATATAAAATATTATATATAACATTATATATTATATATTATTTATATTATATTATTATAATATAATAATAAATATATATATTAAACATATAATATAAAAGATAATACCTGAGCTAAAATTATTTCAGATAAACTGAATCCCACAACATTTGATAATTCTAAAGCACTAGCATAATTTTCGATTCTTATTAAATCATCAATACATCTATGAATTTCTGTATCAAAACTATAAATATTATCTGATACTGAGAATGCCGCAAAATTTAATGTGACATTAGTTTTTTGAAGAATTTTTATAATTTGTAGGAAAGATTGAAAGTTTGGAACGAAAACTGTAATAGTAAAAACTGTATAAGAAAATTATTTTTTAATTAATATTAATAAAAATTAAATAATAATTCATTATAATACCTGGGAAATTTTTATGAAAATTACATTTTATTAAAATTTCAAGGAATTTTATTTGCAAATGCGAACTTTTTAGTCCATAAGCGAGTGTTGCAATAACGCATTTAATTGTAACAGTAGCAATCCAATATAAATTATTCAAGTATGTAATATCTGAACAGTTCCAATCCATTGCATCCTAAAAGTTATTAAAATGTTAAAAAATAAATGAAATAAAAATAAAAATAACGTTTAATACATACATTAAATTTGAGATCTACACATTGTGTTTTAAAATCCAATAAATTTTGTTGATAATCTTTGAAATTACCATAAATTGCACATTGTTCGAGAAATTCAAAAAATAAATTAAAGAGATTTTCCTATAATTAATTTGTATTATTAAACTTATTATATTATTTATATTATTAAACTATATTATTAAAATATACAATATATTTGTATGATAATAGATAAAAATTCACTTACAGGCATAAAAATTTTGTAAGCTTTATTAAGAATATTGATATATCCATTTTTTACCATTTGCTCTAATAAATTAGAAACTTGATTGGCTGTCCATATTTGTTGTTCTAAACATTCATTATAATTAGAAAGAATTTCTTTATCTGTAGTAGATATTACCATCCAAGAATAACAATATGCTGTTATTGAAGATGGCTAAAAAATATGTTTAATAGAAATATAATATTTTATAATACAGTATAATATTGTTAAATATTTTATAGAATATAAAAATTTTAAAATTATTGAAAATATAATACCTCATAACAAGTTGCTAAAACTGCAAGAAAAGGTCTTAAGGTTAACCGAGATGAATTTATTAAAGCACCAGGTGGATCTGGGCTTTGATGACATTTTAGAATAATCAACCATAAATCATCATCTGGAGAACAAATATTGTCATTTATAGCATATTCATACATATCATGAGATTCAGAAGTACTTGCTGAATCTGTTAATACTGGAGAATCATAAATTGGCGATTCCTATTAAATAACAAAATAGTTTAATACTTAATAAAATTTACTATAAAAATATATTATTTATTATTTACATTTTGTTTAACACCAATTTTATAATATAATGATTGTCTATGATCTCGTGATTTTATCTTCTGTTCGCTACAAACAGCTAATTGAGATTTTGTAAGTTGAACATTGCACAAACAAGTTAACAAATGTTCTCTGAGAATTGTATCTTCAAAATGTTTTGCATTTTCCAATACCTAAAGATAAAAAAAAAAGAATTTTTTTTAAATTTTAATAAAAATATTTTAAGTAAAAAATATAAAAAAGATTTTACAAACAAAATTGAAGAAAAAACATATTTAATGTGATTGTTGATAATTCGATTTTTTAAAAATGAAGTTTAAATAAAAAACAAATGAAAAATTTATTTTTGCTTATAAAATTATCTTTTATTCAATAATTTATTTATCCATATTTATCCATCATATTTAAATAATTTGTCTAAATTATTTAAAATTTAAATTATTACCTGATTCAAAGAATAATTAAATATCTGACAAACTAACACAAATTCAAACCAGAAATTCTGATTTGCTAAAAATTTTAATAAACTAATTGGCAAAGAAAAATTGTGCATCCTTGCAAATCGTACAATAATATCCCATATCTTCAATATATTTATAAATTGCTGACTATCATCAATCAAACTTTCAACAAAATTTTTTTGAAAACTACTTTCAAGATAAGCCATTACAGATTTTAAATCATCTTCATTTCCATAAATTATATTTTCTAGTAAATTTCCTGTGAATTGAATGATATAATATATTGGAACTTATGAATATCAAATTTCAATTTATTAAATATTCAATAAATAATAGAAATAATTACCAATAGAAATATTAATTTCCTTATCAATATAATTTGCCACAGTTATATGAAGTCTTAAATTTTCTGAATCAATATTTAACATTTCAATGAAAGAAATACAAGTATGCAATATTTCTGGTTTATTTAAATTTCGTAAGGCAAAAATATGTGCATATAAAGCTGCTTTATGTTTCCTATAAATAATGTAATAATTATATTATAAATATAATTTTTTATTTTTTATTATAAGAATTAATTATTAATTTTACCTTCTACAAGAAATATTTCCAATTAGTTTTCCTTGGGAATGTTTTAAACTAAATATAGCCATATTAGGACGGGCTTCTTTCAAGTAGTATTCATATGTTAATGTTTCTGTATATCCATATTTTTTAACAAGAATTTCATTAGAAAAATAAGGCATAGGCTCATTATTAAAACGCCATTTATATAAACGTTTTATATTTAAATTTTTGTAACCATCTAATAATTCATATATTGTCACTTCTTTCTTTTGTTTTTTTTCTATAATAGATTTAAGAATTGATATTTGTTCTAATGTATTTTGAAGAATTTCATTTGAAATATTATAATCACATAATTGTAAACCATTTTCACTTATAAATATATCTCTTAATATATTTTGTTTCATAGTTGTATTTTTATTTTGATTATATACTGCATTTTCTTTAGATAAATATGAAAATATTAATACTAAAACTATTAAATAATTTTCTTTCAAATATTCAATGGTATCATCAGAAAGATAATAAATTGTTTTAAAAATTCCTTCTATTAACATATTCTGTTCTTGACTTTCACACATTTTTGTTAATGCATCATATAATTCAGCAATTTTAATTTTATCTTCTTGAATATTTATTTGATTCAAACAACGTGCCAGACATAATTCTTTATCAATTCTGCTCATAAATTCATTTCTATTAATATTACAAGATTTATATGATAATATCGTGTTGAATTCTGATATTGATATTGCATTTCCAAAAATACGTGCTAATAATAATTTTACATCTTGTTGTTCTTTTTTAACAAATATACCATACCTATTTATATTATATTATATTTATATTATATATTTATGTTATATATATAATTAAATAAAATAAAATATTTAAATATTTTTTAATAAATATATTTTATGTTGACTTACCTACATAAATGATTTTTAGTTAAATTTTTTATAAGGGTACTAGCACTTGAAGAATCAATAGCTTCAATCATGTTTGGAACTATATCTAAACTATTAAACAATAACTTATATTCTTCGTTAATCATATTTGATTCTTCTATTGTATTATTACCATAATAAGTATCAATCCAAAACTTTATGGGAACAATTTTATTATTTGATAATAAATAATCCCATAATATATTGTTAGTTACATTTTTTAAAAGAGATTGTTCATTTAAAGAAAAATATAATTCTGTACATAATGATTGCCTTACAATTTCTGGTAGTTTTATAATATCTTCTATACATAAAGAAGTGCTTAAACCATCTTTAATCCTAAATAAATTATATTTTTTATTTTTCATATGAAATAAAAAATAATTATTAAATCTAATAAAAATCTAATAAATTTATAAAAAACTTACATATGTTTTTGTTCAAATTGCGAAATGCTTTTTATTATATTCCATGAATTTATATATTCATTTTCAAAACATGCAATACTTATTAAGTGCTCTGATAAATAATTTCTTAACATATAATCTTTACAATTTACACAAACTTCAAATATATATTTTACTGGATCTTTATTCTGTGAAAAAAATATATTATAAAATATATTTATTACATTTATTAAAAACATTTTTTTTAATAAATTCATATCAATAATTAAAATTTATATACCATATTATTTAAAATATGAGAAGCTTTATAAATTTGATGTCTTTTTAGAAGTTCTATAATCCAAATTTCTACTTCTTTATTGAAATAACATTGAGCATTTTCAATAGAACATCTTCTTCTGTAAGCTAAACATTTATAAGCAAGATTAATATGAGTGCCTTTTGCAGATGCTTCTCTAACAAGTTCTCTATCTCCCAATATACGCCAACCAGACCAAATAGCTGCAGGTTCTCCAGTTAAACATTCAACTGGAATACCACCTATTGTAGTTTTCTCTGCCATTTTGTTAATATATATTTCTATAACATGTCATAATATTATGCTGAAACAATATAGTCTTTAATACAAAATTTATATTTTTTTATAATATTATGTTGCAAAAAATATTTAAAACGTAATATTTCATATACCACAAATTATCATTTTAGAGATATTTAAAATATTATAAAAATATTTAGAATATTCTTATATTATTTTACTAACTCAATTTTTTTAATCCAGTAAAATATTCATTTTTATTATAATGAAATTATTACAAATATAAAATTTATATAATATTTTTTTCATCATTTAATTAAAAATTTCTAAAGTAAATATTTGAAAATATATCGATGAATTTTTTCAAATTTTTTTGTATTATTTAAATGTACGAAATATATAACAAATCTAAAATATCTTAATGTGTTATTTTATGGAATAAAAAATAATGTGCCATTACAAAGTTAAATACAAAAAATAAATATAGAATAAATGACAATATATTAATATATTTAATATATTTTAATTTTATACCTGTTTTTTATATGTAAAATATATACATTATGTCGCACAAAAAATGCATGGCTATTATACAATAAAGTTTGTTTTATATTTTATTCTTATAATTGTCAAATATGACATTAAGGAAAATTTCAATTATCATTATGGAGGATAGTGAAATAGTTACATTTTTTGACGCTTGATGGTGCTGATTACAAATAATATAAAGTTTTTAATAATTTATAAACAGTAATTTAATTATATTTTAAAATAATAAATAAATGATATTTATAATAAAGTAATATTTACGATAATTCAATATATTTTATAAGATTCTACAAATCTTATTAAAAAAGTAATAATGAACAAGTTATATCATTACTATTAATGCATTATATAATATATATTATGTATATTGCTATATCTTATTTATTTATTTTTTCTTCTACAAATACTAATAGATATAATATAATATAATAAAATAAATAATATGAAAATTATAAAATATGTATTACATAATGGTAGTACGAAGAAAACTTAAATATGCTAATGATGTTTTGAGAACCTACAAAATAAAAAAGATTATAAGTAACAAATGAGTTTTCAAATCTGCAATTTTGAGTTGAAAAATTTGACAATTTAAAATTAAGAATTATTAAATATTAGTTACTTACGCTTCCAAAAGTATATAAAGATAAATCCACTATATTTCCAGCACTAATTTTAATTGGATTATTTGACATAGCAATAATTAAAATAAGATCATGAATTGTTTTTGTCGGTAATTGGAACCAATCGATCATAAAACAGGATAAACCAATACTACTACTCTGATACATAAAAATCAAATAATATATAATGTAATGAATTATTATTTAGATATTTATAGGAATTATTGATAATAAATTTTATGAAAATACGAAAATATTATAATGTTTTATATCAAGTGACTTTATTTCTTCTATTTTTTTATTTTTTTCATCTTATAGTAATATAAGTTATAATCATTACAATATGATTGTTAAATAATAAAAAATGTAATTAATAAAAAAAAGATGTACAAATATATTAGAAAAATACATATATAAAATATAAATAAGTAAAATATAAATAAATAAAATATAAATAAAGAAAATATATTAAACAGATTTTGTTTTTATTTTTATAGAAATTTTCATTACATTTTATTTATATTATGACATTTTTAATACTTCTATTTGTACAATACAAGAAAAAATTTAAAAAATTATAAAAATAAAAAATTTAAAAGTATTCCTTCAATTTCAAATAAAAATTAATAAAAATTAATAAAAATTAATAAAAATTAAAAAATTGCATTTGAGACTTTATCTTTTAAATATTGATAATTAAAAAATCAGGAAAATTTTCATAGAATTTTTCCTATAAAAATAGGATAATAATCATTATCTATAGTCTTATCTACATATGAGATTATATTTCGATAAGTTATCATCATTTATTTCCTAATTTATATATTGTATTTTTTAAATATGTTTATTAAATATCGTAAAAATATACCTTTTCCATTAGGCGTTCACCAATATAGCATAATATGAATATATTAAATGTTAGAGATATTAATAACATTGTATATGTTATAAGACTAATAGCATTACTTAATTCCCAATCCTGTTATAAATAAATAAATCCTCAGTTTAGCATTAAGAAATTTATAAATGAAAAATAGAAAAAAAGAACGCACCATTATACAATAATATTCAAGTAAACATATCAAAAAGTAGGAACCAATACATTCTA